CCGCTAACATGTGACAATCTGGTCTAAACAGAACAGAACAGAAGGTTTTATTTAAAGTTAGTTTATTGTTTAAACTAAAGTTACAAATTCATCTCATAAAACATCAAAGAGGACAAACATGGACGTAACTCAGTAAGAAGAATTCATTATTTTATCCCCCGTCAGCCTCTGGTGCTGCTGGATGAAGAAGTTTAAAATAAACGAGGAGTCAAAGGAAGAGAGGAGTTCAATGGTTCAAACATCAGCAGAAACGTTGCTGCTTCAGGTCCTGTTTGAGACCGTAAAGATTCAATTCAGTTCAGTTTATTTCTATAGCGCCAATTCACAACATGTCATCAATTTTCTCTGATTCTCCAGAACTTTTTTAAAAGCTTTGATTTGACAACAAGAACAGGAAGGTTCATTGTTTCAGAAACCAGAATGGTCCATCCCCTCTTCCTCCATTAGGGATTAAATGAGGACTAATCCAGCCGCCCACCAAAGCGGATTGCGGCGCCGCTTTCCATTTTCAATCACTTTTGATTAAAAATATTAATATTTCTAGAATTAATTGGCAATCAAAGACATCTTTATATGCAGACCGGGCGCCTCAGGAAACTCTGCATCATTTCCTGTTCGTTACGCTGCCGTGCGTTATGCAGAAGTTAGGCTGTCGTTGGACAGAAGTTCTGGACTCATAATGAATACTTTATATATACGACCAAAATAAAAAATACATAGAAAGTTCAGCGTATGCCAGCGTTTAGGGGATTCTGGGACGTCGAAGTAAACGTGTAACTTCCAGGTTGAGCGCCCCCTAAAGGCCAATGGCAACACTGCTCTGAAAATTGACCTGAAAAACCCTTTAATTTCTCTCAATCCAATACTGGGGTCAAAGGTTAAACGGTGTTAAATTCAAGTATTTGTTCTAAAGATGCAGATTTATAACTGTGATATATCACATGACCGGGCCTCGGCCTCTGATTGGCTGAGAGGAGCAGCAGCAGCAGGCGCTCAGAAATGTTGGCACTCCTTAAAAACTGAAGGCATCAAACTCAGAGTTTTTCAGTGAGACATCTACAAATATTTTAAATGTAGATCTAAACATGCTAGATAGTGCCTGGTTAGAAACTACAGTAGAAGAGCTGAACTAAAACTTCAAATCTTTTTAAAATCAGAAATCATCTTTTTTTTCTTATAAACATTTTCCAGTACAGAACGAGTTAAATTTAGAACATTTGGTTAAAACAAAATAACATTTTTATTACATTTTAATCACATAAGGAGGAAATTATTTAGGAATTGATTTTAGTTCACTGAGGCGAGGACATTCAAACTTACGTCGTTATTTAAATAAAATCTAACGTCACGGAGTAGAAAAGGTGGAATGAAAGGGTTTTATTTGCCGCTGGAGTCGGAGCCTCAGTCGGACTTGGTGGTTTTGTGCCTCCAGGGATAAATCAGCTCCCCGACGAACAGCTTCTTGACGAGCGCCGCCCACGAGTCTCTGGGGTAGCAGCTGTAGGTGGGGGTGCGGTAGGTCTGGACCACGGCGCCGCACTTCAGCGGGTTAATCTGAGGAGGAACCGCAGCGTGAGGGGAGAGACATGAATTGTGTTTCTTAACCATAATGTTTTTTATGTAACTGGTATTGTAATTTTATCTTGTGATTTTATACCTGTGTTTATTTTTAAGGTTGCCTTTTTAATATCTGGCTGGGGGACTAGCGATGAAAATTAGCACTCCTTAGTTAACTCCGGTATATTTACATTGTTTTAATGTTGATTAATGTACACTGTCCCCTTTCAAATAAACAATAAATGAAAATGAAAAATGAAGACGGGCGGCTTTATGACCGCTGTCCTGTCAGACCTGCAAAAACGATGTAGATATAAGTAAAAAAAAATTCTTAAATTAAGTGTATTTACCCTTAATTTGAGCAGGTAAATGAGATAGTTTGCCAATGGAATGAGTATTTTTCATCTTAAAATAAGATAATTAGATAATATGGACTTGAAATGAGACAATGTAATTGTGTTTTCTTATTTTAAGTGTAAATTGTCTTGTTCCATTGGCAAAATGTCTCTTTTACCTCCTGAATCCAAGAACAAAGGCACTTATTTTAAGAAAAAATGACTTATCTAGATTTAGATTTTTTGCAGTGGATAGTCCAGGGTTCTGCAACCTGCAGCTCCAGCGGCTCCCCCTACAGCGGCTCTTAATAGTGGTTAAAATGTATATAAAGAGCTAAATAATGTACTAGTCTTAAATGTTTTCTTAAACACAACATGGAAGAGAATGACATTAAAAGAACCAGAAGTATGTTTTTCGAACCATTTTTCTTTGAATTTATGTGTTCAATATTATTTTAAAAGCTAAAAATACATAATTTGTTGGCATCTAATTTATCATGAGATATAAAAAAAAAATAGGCTTTTTAAAAA